CTGACTAAGGTCAGTCCCAGAAGTCATCATGTGTTAATCTGAGATAAAACTGGCATACTTTGCTTGGAGAATCATTAATAACATTGATCTCATACAATAGCCTATCTTGTCGAAAGATGCCAGAAAAGACCTGATGCGATTCCTTAGTTGAATACAATTATAAGTACCTGGCAGAACAGAGCTTCCAATTATAATCTTGTGGCCTAACTTAGAATATGTTTATTTTGTGCCCACTGTTTCTGTAGTGTTTTCTTTAATATAAAAATTGCTACTGTGTTGAATAATTGAAATGCGTGGACACCATTTTCAGATATCATAAGGGCTTATTCAATAAGTGATTTCACTTTCATTCTGTTCATGTGATACATTCCATCATTGCATAATTAGCACAAAATGGACAGATTGTTTGCTGTAAGTAAAAAATAAATTGCAATAGTCTTTGTTATTGTGTATATAGCATTTTTTGTTTCTATTACAATGTTCAGTATTTGTTAATCCTATTTATTAAGAAAAAGTAAAAGCATCTACAATATGTGCGGTGCAGAAACCAAGAGCAGCCAATTAGATTTCAGTTTACTGGAATCAAGTCAGTAAAAATAACTTATATTGCTTGCTATAGATAGATGTATTAATCTCATTCCATAAGCCTAATTGTCTTTTCTTTGTAAAGGTAATAGTCTTTATGAAAAGTAACCATTATCCTTTGCTATCAGTACGTACATGGTTGTCATCAATACATCATCATTTTTCATCTTTGTACTTGTCTTCTTCGATCATAACAAACCTTACTCATCAACTTCTGAATCCGCTGTTATCATCATTAATTTCTAATCATCATCATTACTTATAATATGTTAACACTGCCAGCTCAGAGTACCTAAGTGCATACGATTTTTTTCATCATATATTCATGCTATGAGTGTCTTCTTTTGCATGTTGACTGAAAATAAATTACCAAACAAAATGTCCAACAGGTATCTGTAAATAAGGGGAATTTACAAGATGAATATACTGGTCCTGAGGGGGATACCAGCTTGTCTTCTGAAACAGATACAGTGTAAAGGGCTGCTTTAATACACAATTTGGTCAAGGGCAGTAATTTAAAGCAATTAGCCAATTATCGAGCGGAATTTGCACCCTGAAAAACTGTAAATGCGGTTGCATTGAAGAGTACTACAAAATGTAATACCTAAACTGTGAAGAAATTGTTTAGTGTTTTTTTAAAGAATTTGGTGTGGAAAGATCAGTGAAGAGAGAAAAATAGAAAGAAAAAATAAAAAACAGTATTTTTAATTTTAAAAAAATAAAAAACTTGTGCTTATGACACAGTGCTTCAAACTAAATTTGTTTCAGTTAGCTTTAAATGTACTTTAAGATTCTAGATCACCAGGAGCACAAAAAAGAAATGATTTAAAAACCAGCTATTGAGGTTTTTTTTATCCAAAATGTGATATTACATGGGCTATTGCTCCTCAAATCATAATTGAACCCTATTAATTTATATAGTATTGCAGTCTGGCTGCTTGTACAGTAAAGACTATGCCTCTATTTTGATATTTTGTGTCAGCCATGTTCTGTAGCAAGGATTAAAATCTACCAATCTCTCATACAGATAGTGGCCTGGCCCTGCTATGGAATGACACACTCCATTGAATGCTGTTTTATACAACATCACTCTCTGAGCAGGACTGTTGATTAGAGCAGTGTTCAGAGGGCTGAACTTTTGCTAGTATGTGAGATCAGCAAGCTGGGATTCAACCCTTTCTGTATCACTTAACAAATTAAAAAAGGCATTTTCATTAAGGGGTTTATTCTCTAAGCTGCCGAAGGATCTAGCCGTAGCTTCGGCTGATCCTTTGGCTAGCTTCGGCCCCAGGACCCCTTCGGTTCAGTAGAACTGAAGGGCTGCTGTACGGGCTATTCACTATAGCCCGTACAGCTCCCGAAGTTGGCCGAGTGGCTCAGTCGAGCCGAAGGCATATGCCTCGGCTCCACTTAGCCGAGGTGAAAGCCAAAGCTGGCCGAAAGACAGCCTGCTTCTGACAGCTGGGCCAGGTAATCAGGGACGCCATCTGTCATTACACACTGAGAACCCAGCGGGGCTGCTCTGATATCACAACGGCCTCTCCAGGTTCTCAGTGTGTAATGACAGATGGCTTCCCCTGGTTACCTGGTAACCAGGGACACTGATCTGTCATTACTTTCCCGGATGCTCTGGGAGTCTAATACGGCTCCCGGCTGCCCAGGAGAGAACCACTTTCTCCCAGAAAGGTTTGCTCTGCTCGATAGAGCAGAATAAACCTTTCCTTGCGATCTGGTTTTTTTTTCTGACATAGGGCTGCTGGTTCCATGTCAAAAAAAAAGGCCGCCGGCACAGGAATGCCTAGCTAGATTCCTATTGGTTATTTCAATTTGCAATAGCCAATAGCAAACTAGCTATTGCACCCATCCACTGCTGCTGTCAATCAGCGGAGGGGGGCCAGCAGTTCTCCATCATGTCCCCTTCTGGTGATTGACAGCAGCAGAGGGCGGGTGCAATAGCTAGTTTGCTATTGCAAAGTGAAATAGCCAATAGGAATCTAGCTATGCATTCCTATGGCTATTTCATGTTTTTTTTTTTTTTTATTCTGACAGCAGAACCGCCCGGCCAATAGAAAACAGTTGGGTGGAGCTAACTGTCACTGCTAGCTCCGCCCAATCATTTTCTATTTTATTTTTTCTACTTTTATAACTGTTTTTCTATACTGCTCGGTACCACAGAGGTTCCGGACAGAATAGCCGAGCCGAGTAGCCTGCCTGAGGTTCGGCTCAGCCGATCCACATGTTGATCGGCTGAGTCGAACTCCTTCTGCACTTCGAGTCGGCCAAACATGCTGAGCATGTTTGGCCGACCCGAAGC